CCTCATGGTAATGCCATCCCAATTCATGTTACATTATGCATGAGATAGGTGTTATATCCTAAAGACTCTGCAGGTATTTCTGCATGATATTGTGTATTGTAGTGGTTCCCAGTCTTGGGTCCTCAGATGTTCTTGGATTGCAACTCCCAGAAATTGTGGTCAGCACAGCTTGTGGTGAAGGCTTCTGAGAGTTTGAGTCCAAGAACTTCTGTGGATCCATGATTGGGAACCACTGGCATATAGCATTTCTCATAATCCACTTGTGCTTCTCAGTTTTAATATGTAGTCCTAACTCTTCCTTGCAGAGCATTGTGGGTGAGAATGGAACAATCTGCCGCTTTTACTTGGTCCTGTAGTTGAATGTCTTGAACCCATATTCTTTCCATCCCAAATAATTAGGCATTGACAAATTTTGGGAAATCCTTCAAAAATGAACTGAATTTAAATTCTCATGCATCTTCACTGACCAAATTCAAAATGGGCATGCTTGTCATACATATGTCATCTGTCTGTTTATCTGCCTGTCATTCAGGTGTTAATGGCGAGAAGCCTCTCAGGGAGAAAAAAGATGACAGTTCTACTTCTGTACTAATTTTGTTGATTCAAAGCTAGACTTTCAAGAGGTAAATACTCAAGACCATGGCCTGGATGGATCGATCAACTTCAGCTTCTTCTAATTTTTCTTTAATTAATTCATTTCCATCCTGAATATCAATTTTGTGGATGTTGGTAAATTTCTTCCAAAAAACAAACTAAAACAAAATTCATTTCTAACTATAAAGTGCCTTCAGAACCACACAAAGGAATGCTTTACTTCTGACTGACTGAAAGGATGGGTCCATTTTAACTATCTGAAAATGTACTCCTCAATGAATGTTATATTTAAGTTGTTTTGGTCACTTTGCCCTAAGAGACCATAACAGGCAGCTAAATATTGGATATTTATTTGAGGGGGGAATACACAAAGTGTATTTTGTGACTCTGGAGGAAAGGAGTATCTAAATGGTTACACCCTATAGTTTAAGAATGGTCATATTTCTCCTAGCCCTTCTTCATAGAAGCAGGTCAGACAAAAGTTGACATGAACCAAATTACTTTTTGTATAATTACTTTATTCACTTGCTGTTACTTTGGAAAGAAGCTGAACAATCATGTTGTGGATTTTCACAGAAAATATTTCAAGGGTTGCAAAAGAAAAGCAGCAAAGTCTTCAGAAAAGGAGTCCAGTGAGTGGACTTAGCATATTAAGGGGGGGAGGACACAAGGAGGCCAGAAATTATTTGTTGGACTGTTGGAAGTTCTTATGCTACTGGTGCAAAGCCAACCTGGTTGTTTCCAAGATCATAGACAGAGTAATAGGACCTAAGGAAGACATCACCAAGAATCCACAAAGGCTGCCCATTTGTGGACGGCAAGTAGGTGGGCATGATGCCAATAGTGCAGTAGCCACTGTTGCTCTGTAAGGGAAAAAGCATTGAATTAAATATCCTGGAAGTCATTGCCAATGATGTAGCACAAGTACAGTATGTCAAAGTACTGAGTTTAAAATATGAATGTTTATACAATATCTGAACACCTTCTCTTTCTCTGTGTCTATGTACATGTAAATGCTGAATTTTAACATTTTTGTAATCTCTTCAAACGTGGATGTTGCACTGTTACTGTTTCTGTAAAGTAAGGCATCTCTACAGTTAAATGCATCTGTCTTGGAGCTTTGCCAAGAAACTGTTGTGTGTTGACCATATCCAGATGTATGATCACTTTGCTTTGCACTTCAGAAATAGTGCCTACATACAACAGCCCAGCAATCAATGGTGCTGTGACATTTCTCATGGCAGGTTTCACGTAAATGATTTATCATACACTGGAAATCCACCAGCTCCACCTTTAGGGTACAAGCACATTGCAGTTACTCCTGAGAACCTACGTTCCTCCACATTGCAACAGGAAGCATTTCCCAGTGATACAATGAATACAGCTTCATGTATCACATTTGAAAAATCATGCAACCCATATTTTGTGTTTCATTTTCATTTACATGTATTGATTTAGTTGATTGTAAAGTGCCCAGAGTAGTGAACCTGCACTAATGGGGCAGTATAGAAATTAAATAAATAAATACCCATGAGATTTAGCAGAACCTTTTGGCTAGAGGCAAGTTTATGGATTGAATAACTGATTTCAAATATTGCTCTGCCCAACGTAGCCGAAATACAGTTTGCAATAGGTAAAGCCACCATAGCAGGCATCAGCCATTCAAGATAATAACATACCTGCAGAACGTAGGCAGAAGGAGTCAGAGGGAAACTGTTTCCATTGATGACAAAAGTGATGGTGGGCATGCTCTGAATGTTGCTGCAACTGACCAGATACTGTGGAAAAAAGAATAAGAGAAGCACAAATTTGCAAGTTATTTCCATTATGATTGAGTTTCAGGCATTCCAGTAAGACACCACGGCCCTGCAGCTTGTGGACTGGGGTGGGGTGATGACTGGTCCAAAAACTGGGGTCAGGAGGGTTGGAGGGAGCACCTTACCTGCCTCAGTTGCAAATTGTCACAGACTAGAATATATATAAACACAGACTATGGCATGGAACTATGTTTTCTAGATAGTGTACTTAATACTCTCATTTTAGTGATGCTGAATTTACCTCCCATTCATGTAGAGCTCCAGTCCCTTACCTCGCCATTACTCTCCTGAGCTCCAATATATTGCATCAGCTCTGCAAAGACCTGCTGTGGGGCAGTGAGGAGTGATGTTCCAGTATCCACAATTGCTTGGCATCCTTGGCTGCACCAGTCAGTGATCTCATTGCCAATGTAGAAGCTCAAGAAAGAAGATTTTAAAGATATAAGCAATCAAAATATCTGTTAGGTGGTGGGACAAAGAGGTGTGATATTCAAGATGTCACACTTCTTTGTTTGCTTTCTGCTTCCTTATGGTGTAAGCTGAGCCCCCACAATCTTCTCTTAATTTAAAACAAGTCTTTCATAAATCAAGCAGGATTGTTGTCCTGACAAGAGTTGTTGTAAATGGGCTAAAATAATCCAATTTTTGTTTCCAGACCCTGTGATGAAAAGAGAGGGTTGCACTAGAGTAAAAATATAAACAGAAGGAAAAGTGTTTGCTCTTAATTCTTTTAAGCACCATGATTATCAGAGGGACTGCAGAAATCTTTTACAGTGTGCAAAATGATCTGATACTGTGGTGTATTATCCAGCCAACAGCTTCTTCCATTGTAACTTTAAAGCTACAACTCTAATGCAGCCTGCATCTTTCTTAACTTACATCTAAGGAAAACACTTGGCAAAATCCATCTGCCATGAAATTTTGGGACTCTAAGTTCTTTGCACTAACGACAAGACACCAGCGCAAGCCTGACGAAATGGCCGTATCGATCCAGAAAATCTAGCAGATTGTATGGGTTTGGTTTTTTAGTGGTCTATAAAAATACCATCTATTCCTGCATTTGGAAATATCCAGATGATTTAAGATAAATAGTTGTAAAGAATCCAAAATCTCAAAGCCAAGCCACTGGTCTAAATTCATCTGTTAGTCCCAGTTAGAACCTATAGAACTTAGAGATGTGTTGATTTAAGAAGCCCCATTCATTCCATAAGACAAATAGCTGAAATAACCTACTACTTCATCCTGTCTCCACTGAATTCTCATCAATGCCATCCCATTAACAGCCCAACTGATAGCCAATATTAGTGAGCATAACCTTACCTTTGAATGCCAATTTGCCAATAAGCTTCTTCAGTGACTGGAGTCCAGACAATCTGACCAGAGTATAGGTTGGAATTAACTCCTCCAAAAACAAGTTCCCCACCTTCAGACCCCTCTTGCCTAGAAAGACACATGCAAAATTCTTTTAAAAACACACATTCTTTATACACAGAGATCACTCCATTACTGAGGCATATGGAAGTCTACTATCCTGATCTAAAAAGAAAAAAATGCAAGAAAAAAAGAATTTCCCCCACTGATTATGGGAAAGGAAATAGAGAATCAAACATTTTTAAAATGTTATTTTTCACTCAATGAGTACAGCAGCAGCATAAAAAAAATAAGTATAAAGTTTTGTGGCACCTTTAAGATTCACTGATTTACTTTGGCATGACTTTTTGAGGATTACAGTTTAATTGCATTTAATATTGACAAGGTTATGTGGCAGTGTGAGCCACTCCAGCAGTGCCGTAACTGTGTTATATCACCAAAGACAGTAAGGTATAGTGGAGTGATCCCTGCTGGGACTTGAGAGACCAAGGATCGATGCCAGACTTGGCCATAAAACTCATCACATGATTTTGGACTGGTCCTTCCATTTCAGCCTAACCTACTCCATAGGGTAGCATCTCAACACCAGCATTTGTAATAGGCAGCAGGGTGTATTAGACAGCTTCAAGATTTTAAGGCAATAATTCCTCACTATTTTTTCATTGTTGCCCAGGTTGCTCATCACTGCTGGAATGAAGAGGAAGGTGCACTGAATTAAGATAGATAAAACTTTATTACGATCCAAAGATCGTACACAAAACTGAGTTAAAACAAACAAACAACAACACAAACAAAAACAGAACACAAAGAACTATATAAGAAGAATTACAGAAATATGGGATAGATTATTTGAATGACCACATTTCCCTATCCCACAGTTTCTGTGGCACTCATTCTTTCATTCCACTGCTATTACAGACATATTTGGTGAAAACTCAAGAGAAAGCATTTTCGGTGGCTGCTCCCAGTCTGTGGAAGCTAGGTTGGCCACTTCCTTACAGTTCTTTTGATGGCAGGTAGGAATCTTCCTTCTTAGTTACCTTTTAACCTCTAAAACTTTGCAGGGTTATGTGTTTTTTTAGAAGGAGATGCAGCATATTTTTATTAGTATGTTTTCTTAAAAATCAGGTACAGTATATTAAATGGGCTTAAACTTTATAAACTAATTGGTTTAATTCTACTTTAATGGTAAATCTTAATTTAGAGTGATTTTATGCGTGTGTTTTTAAAATTGTTGTGCATTGCCTTGTGTTCTTTTATTGAAATAATGTTTGGATATAAATAAAGTCAATAAATAATATAAATAAATGACAACAGGTCTAAAGAAAAAGAACAAAGACACTCTTTCCATCCTTACCCACTGAGATAGAAGCCAAAAAGGGGAGCATCGAGAAGGTTCTCCTGAATCATCCCCTGCATGACGGTGGTAGCACTACCTGCGGAGATGGCGGGGTAAGCTAGACCCAAAATGCCATCAAATTGGGCATAGACAAAGTTGGTACCAGGCTCAGTCTCACTCAGGCCAAATTCCTGATTGGTAATGGAAACCCCTTGGATCTAGAAGTGGATAGAAAAGAATCAAGACATGAATCAAAACAAGCATTCTTACTGGAAAGAATGCAGCCTGACGGAATAGCCTTGCATTGGTTGAACTAGCAATGTTTCATAAATATGGTACACTGTCATTGAAGCAACCAAAATGAATTTGACACAACTCCGGGAGGCAGTGGAAGACAGGAGGGCCTGGCGTGCTCTGGTCCAGGGGGTCACAAAGAGTCAGACACGACTAAACGACTAAACGATTCTGGCAAAACTAACCTTGATAGACAGACAGATAAAATAGATTACCTAATGGGATTTCAGCCAATCAAACTACTGTATTAGGGAGCTATAAACATATATAGCATCATAATCAAGATGTTAAAGGGCCGAAATCTCAGGATTTCCTTTTTGAAACTTACAGACAAATAGGAACACAGTGAACTTTCTTATCTTACAGTCTTCAAAAGTAATAATTGACTATTTCGATAAATCCCTGGCTCTGCTAACCAGTATTGTGAAACAGTCATTAGAATCAGTGTGCTTCCTTTGTTATCTGAAATTAAAACCATATCTCTTAGAGCACTGATACTTACAGTTACAGTATCGTAACCAAAGATCCCAGTGAGACTCCCTGTCCCATACTGCAAAGAGAAGGTTTGGTCGTTGGTGGAATAGGTAGAAGAGTCACTGGGGTTGAATAATGGATGGTTTGCTAGTGATGGTAGAAATTGGGGGGGGGGGAAACAAGAAGTATGTCACTTTTGAACTCATAAAATAATAGTTGGTATGTAAATAATATTAGCACATCAACTAAATCACATTGTATTCTCTTCTTTTTCTCTCCCACCACTAAAAATGAATTTGTAGTCGAATAGATGTCTCAATAGCAAAATATTATCCAAGAAAACATGCTTCATATTCACTTAGAGGATACTATTTTCCATTTGCTATTGTGATGGAGGATACTCACTGCAAGCCTCACTCTGGCAGTAGACGGAAGGCACCCAGAGATTGGATGACCCAGTGTCAAAGAGAACCAAGAAGTTCTGGGCTGGCGTTCCAATACTGATTTGACCATAATAGGACATCTAGGAAAAAAAAAAGAAAGACATTGTGATCATCAGAACTCTTTCCCATTGCTTTTCACACAATTCCTTAGCATGTTCTAAAGAAAAAATTGTAACAAATAAGCAGCCAGTCTATGTATTTGGCTATACAGTAGTACCTCAGTTAACGAACACCTTGGTTAACATAATTTTGGTTTATAAATGGAAATCCATTGAAAATAATGCCTCTGTTTACATTTTTTTCCCACAGTATGAAAGAAGTTTCCCCAGGATGCATTGTGCCTGGAGGTTTATAATGCTGCCCCTGTTCCTATGGCAAACCGTAGAACAGATTAAATTCGTAAACCAAGGTACTACTGGATAGCTATATACAATTAGAAGTACTGGTTGGTGATCTCACACAGCAATACTTTAAGAAGACAATATATATTTTACAATGTCAAACTACCTGAGGCAGCAGTTTCATATTTAAAACGGAGCTCCCTTAAGTGCTAACAAAACTGCTTACAATATCACAGGTTTTTCTCATTTCTCATATTTTAGAAATCATCTTCCTCCATGTTGTGAGGAAGGTAAATACGGAGGTAAATACGGACCTCGTTTACAAGTCTAATTGCTCAGATATGAAGCTGTTGATTATAGAATAATAAGCTATCTGCTTCTAAATGGGATGATGGTGTTTCACCTAGCTTCAGTCAAAGTTGGTGGTTTTCTACACACCAACAGATTCTGGGAGCTTTTTAAAAGAATGTCCCTTAGGGGCACATTATCTTTAATGCATGTTATGCAACCATGTTTGCAATGCTGGCTCAGTGTTGAACATTTTGTCTCCATGATGGTTCTCACTATTACCTTCTAGATCTTAAGTTTATAATATATAGAGAGCTCACATCTTCTTTTGTAGACTGCAGCCCACTTCTCTTTCTTTTAATTCAGAATTATTCTGGGACTTATTATTCTGGGACTGCAATTCCATTCTCACTTTAAGGCCCTGGTCACACAAGGGAAATGTTTTCTAGTTCATCCAACACTTTCCATACCTCTGTTGTACTGAATCGTGGTCACATGGTTTATATCCCAGGACGAACGTCCCATGAACTTTTAGCACTATTGATTTATTTCCTTCTGTTTGAATTGGTATGGCCAGCTACCCCATAGTATTGGTTTGTTTTCTCTCTTGCTTCAAGGGACAATTTAGGCCCTTGATTTATATATTTATAGCTTAGAGGGAGACTTGTTCCTGATATATTGAGGTATTTATATATCTATATACCTCGATATATATAAATATCTCAATATATCAGAAACAAGTCTCCCCCTAAGGTACATGACTATGCAAATGTGCTTGACTCCACCCCCTTGCACAGTTTTCCTCCTCCCCTGTGCACCCACAGCTATTGTTTCCAGACCCTTTTGTTCCTGTTGCAACAGAACCCTATGTGGGGGGAGGGCGGACTCACATACCGGGGGGGGTAGAAATTAGAGGGAACATTGATCAGGAAGGGATTTCTGTTTAGGAAAGTGTCCCTCTGTTACACTGGCTGCTCCTGCAGAAATGCATTACACACAGTAGACTTCAGATATTCAGGCAGCAGTACTGGCGATCATCCTCCCGCCCGGTGACATGGGCATACTAGTGTTTCAATGTATCTTCCCACTGGAAAGAAAACATCCTTACTCGCCAATAATGTAATGGTGGCGGGGCCCCGGTGACATACTTTTACCAACATATTGATGTATTGGTTACAAAAAAATAAAAATAAAATAATATGCACACCACAGTAATGGTGGTCACCTTCCTGGTTTCAATTCTGAAAAGAAGCAGGGCAGGTCATGGATGTGGGCAATCCTGGTAAGGAATGCACCAGTACAACAAAGGTACAAAATAACACAACTCTTCTGGCTATGAGGAAATGTTCCGCAGTTGCACCACTAGCCAGGAAAATGTCACAGTCTTGACTCTATGTCATGTGACCAGGAAAAAAAATACCAACGTAACTAGTTGACATCTACATAACACTTCCCTCGTGTGACCAGGGCCTAAGATCAAATTTCCATAGTTAGGACCAGCATTCACTAAGACTTAGCCTCTGATTCTCTCAAGTGCTCCTTGAAATTTCTCTTTCCAGTTTCCATTTCCCCCTAATTTTAGCCATTTCCTTCCAGAAGGAATATTTTAAATAAATACAGTAAATAAGGAACAAAGCCAGATACTCACATCCATATAATTAGCCAAGGGCTCACTGGCAGTGGCAAAACCATTCGTGTACTTGCTGGCTGGGTCATAATGGTGATTCTTCAGGTAATCATCAAGAACTCCCTTTTCCTTCATCACCTCCCGCATAGACTTGAATCTTTTTAGAGGAACTCTGTATACAATGGGGAGTTAGGCAGAGAAGCAAAGAGAGAGCTATACACTTATATCCTCTGGAAAATTAAAAGAATTCTCTGACCTAATTTGTACAAAAGCTGTTACAAAGATTCAGGGAATAATTTAAAAACTGAATTAATTACAAGCTTTTGTAGATGCTTCAGATGCTTGTGCAAATAAAATTTCTCTGTTTTTAAGGTGTAACAACAATCTTTGTTGTTTTTGCTGCAACATATGTGGTTATAAATATTTATAGTTACAAGGTTGATCTGGGATAGCTTGTTAGAGATATTATCTGAGAAGGTGAGAAGTTATTTTAAAGAAAATTGAAAAATGTTTTATGATTGAGCCCAGAAATAAACATGAGTAGAGAACATAACATAGGTTAAAGATTTTAGTACTATAACACAGTTATGGAGTCAAGATTATATATTAGATATTCTACAACGATAAACACTTCCCTGCATGTATGTTTTGTATGTATTGTTTGTTTGTCTGTTATATAATAATAATAATTTTTAAATAAGCTTCACTGGATACTTTGCTATTTTTTTCCATATTCACACAGAGGATAATTCTGAGATGTTGAGGATAACAGAGAATGGCTGTAATCACCACTGTAGTTTTAGAGAGGTGGCTGTGCTAATCTGTGCTAGCGTGTCAGACAAAAACAAAAAAAAACAAAAAAAAATTAAAAGATCAAGAAAACAAAAATGTGGCATCATAAAGACTAGCTGCTATATTTTAATGTGAGCTTTTGTGGACGAGTCTGAAGAAAAAAAAATAGCAGCTTTTTCGTATTCTTTATTTTTCTTTTATTTTTGCCTGACGTGTAATTACTGTGTTTGTCACTAGCATTTGACTAGCTACTTTTACAGTGTTGAGCTCATTATGGCAAAGCCATTCTTAGGATGAAACACTGAAAATATCCTGCATGAAAAATAAATATAAATACTATTTCTAATGTCAACCATACAGGTAGACCCTGAAACTTACAAAAAATGCAAAGGAAAGAAGATTAATAGCTTGATCCCATATGTGCTTATTTAAAAGTAAGACTGACTAGGTTCAGTTGGGCTTACTTTCAAGTAAATGGATGTGAAACTGCAGGAAAAAATCCAAAGCAGACCTCCTCCCAGTTTAAAGGAAGACTGCTAAAATTGCTTTGTTGATTAAGACCAACTCAGTTGCCTACATTTTTGGATTTTGCTTTATGGTGTGGCTCTCATGATGAGCATCTACACTTCAAAATATAGCACTATACCACAGCTGCTAGAACAAAACTACATTTTGAATGTGTCTACTTTTCCATTAACTTAATTATAATAAATTAAAAACCTGACAATTGCTGACATTAGATCTATCCAAGTTCTCCTCCTCCTCACCATGTCACTTGGTTGAGAATATATACAACAGATAATCCTAATCCAAAAATATTGCCATCCATTCCTGTTGTGGTTAGCACTCTTTTTCTTCTAACTTCCAGGCACAACTGAAGTAAAAAGGCAACTAAGAAAAATACTGCAGCATTCTCCCATACTTACTTGAAAACTTCACCCTCACAGAGGTGAAGGCACACCAAAGCAAGAATTAACCACTTCATGGTGCTCTTCTCTTGAATGCAGTTGCTGAAGCAAATTCTGGTCTTGTCACTGAATGGTTGGCTGTTGCTCTACCCAGGGCCCTTCTTTTATAGTCTATCTGTTTTCTCCACCCTCATGTACCAGTATTACAGATCAGGACCTTATCAGTGGGTCAACAATACTTCACACAAAAATTGTTTTAGGAAGCATTAATAGCCCTTTTATCTCTAAAGTTGATTTCTGTTAGCCCATTTTTTAGAATCAGAGATTGATACAGTTCTTATCATTACGCATTCATAATTCTCTCTTTTAAAATTCACCACTGCAAACTGCATCTATCATACCACGTTTGAGGTGTCATACTTACAGTGCATGTTTTCTTAAGGGGGAGTAAATGAAAAGGTATATACGTGGAACTTTGATTAGGATGGAAACATTCTAATATCTCCATAATTAATCACATGTTCTTAAATGTTTCAATCAAAGATCTTATTAATCGCATATCAACAGATTAAAAATTCCACACTGAGCCAATGTCAATGGAAAGTCCAGTTTTTTGCCCTGAACATACTGTTTTTGGATAAGAATAAATGTGCGTAACTTGTGATTCTCTGGATGTTGTTGGACCCCAGTTGTCATAATCCTGCAATATTGGCTATGTTGATTAGGGTTGGTGGAAATTGTGGTCCAGCAACATCTGGAGAATTATGTGTTGCCCCATATAGGTTTACAAGGGCTTTATGACAAAAGAGAGCACTTGCCTGTAGGATGCAGTGGACCTCTGTTCAGCCACATTAGGACACTAGACATTTCTTTATGCCATGTCAACCTGTCCATTTAATATGTTATTGTCCACTCCAAATTACAGTGGCACTCCAGGATCATAGGCACACATGATGATTCCTTTACCTGTGGATTCCAGGTATTAAATATGGAAATACCTGTATTTGCTTGAATATTTGTTCTTCCAGCACACATATTGCCCCATCTTTTTCTCTCATATTCAAGATAGAATTAGATGGAAAGGAAACCAAAGGTAATTGAGTCAAACTCTTTGTTGAAGCAAGAAATGCACGGTTATAGGTTTCCTGACATATGGCTATCTAAACTTTGTTTAAAAAACTGCAAGGAGGCTCCACTGCTTTCAAAGGTAGTCTATTCCATTGATGAGCCATTCATACTGACAGGAAGTTCTTCCTAAAATTTAGGCAAAATCTCATTTCTCATAGTTTGAATCGATTAATTCAGGTCCTAGCTTCTAGAGCTAAAGAAAACAAGTTTATTTCATCTGCCATGTGAAAGCCTTTCAGATATTCAAAGATTATTATAATGTCACTTCTGTCCAGCATAATGAGGAACTCTTTGGCTACAGACCTTCAACCAACTACAAATTTAACATCTGCAACATCGTCAAGCCCATATTTTACCAGTTTGGCCACAAGTTAGTCTACATCTATTGCTCTCCCTCAATCCAGATAATTTGCAATTCTATTTTTGTTTTTTGTTTTTCAAGAGATAAGGTTATTGTGTCAGGACTTGTTTCTGAGAAACTCGCGTTGGCTTCCATCACTGTCACCACATTCTTTTCCAAGTATTCACCAATCAACTTTCAATTATTTGTTCTATAACCTTTTCTGGTATCACTGTTAAGCTAACTGGTGAATATTTGCTCAGACTCTCTCTTTTTCCCCTTTTTGAAGTTGGAGTCAACATTCAGCCATCTCCAGTTTCCCAGAACCTCAATTCCTAGAACCTTGTTTAACAATAATTCTCAGAGTTTATTGATAGAGGCTCTGAGATTACATTGATTGATTGATTGATTGATTGATTGATTGATTGATTGATTGATTGATTGATTGATTGATTTCACTGTATTTCTCCCAATAAGGGATCCAATGTGGCTCTGAAGGTCTGTTTAGTATCCTTAGATACAGTCCACTTCACCTTTGGGCAGCATCCTCCTTAGTCATGCTAGGTTAAGAATACTCTTTTCCTTTTGGGAGAAGATGGAGGGAACCAAATTGTTGAATAGATCTGCCTTCTCTTTGCCATCCTTTACCATTTTTTCTTCTGTTTCATAGCAGACCTGCTACATTCTTTTTCTTCTTTTTGCTCTCCGCATAATTTTAAGTTTGTAATCTTTCTTACAAGTCAGAACTCATTGCAACCACTAGGTGATATTTTTAATATGGCTGGAGTAGAATTCCCTTGTTGTTGTTTAGTCGTTAAGTCGTGTCTGACTCTTCGTGAACCCAGAGCATGCCAGGCCTTCTTGTCTTCCACTGCCTCCCGGAGTTGGGTCAAATTCATGTTGGGAGCTTCAATGACATTGTCCAACCATCTCATCCTCTGTCGTCCCCTTCTCCTCTTGCATTCACTCTTTCCCAACATCAAGGTCTTTTCCAGGGAGTCTTCTCTTCTCATGAGATGCCCAAAGTATTGGAGCCTCAGCTTCAGGATCTGTCCTTCCAGTGAGCACTGAGGCTTGATTTCCTTTAAAATGGATAGGTTTGTTCTCCTTGCAGTCTAGGGGACTCTTAAGAGTTTCCTCCAGTACCACAATTCAAAAGCATCAATTCTTCAGCGGTCAGCTTTCTTTATGGTCCAGCTTTATGATCTTAGCTTTTTTGATGTTGAGCCTCAGACCACTTTTTGTGCTCTCGTCTTTCACCCTCATTAAGAAGTTCTTTAATTCCTCCTCACTTTCTGCCATCAGAGTGGTATCATCTGCATATCTGAGGTTGTTGATATTTCTTCTTGATTCCAGCTTAGAATTCCTACAGTCCAGCCTTTCGCATGATGTATTTGCATATAAGTTAAATAAGCAGGGGGGACAATATACAGCCTTGTAGTACTCCTTTCCCAATTTTGAACCAATCACTTGTTCCATGTCCAGTTCTAAGTCTTGCTTCCTGTCCCACATATAGGTTTTTCAGGAGATAGATAAGGTGACCAGGCACTCCCATTTCTTTAAGGACATGCCATAGTTTGCTGTGGTCCACACAGTCAAAGATTTTTGCATAGTCAATGAAATGGAAGTACAGTGGTGCCTCGCTTAACGAGTGCACCGTATAGCGATGTTTCCGTATAGCGATCCCTTTTTCGGGATCGCTATACGGAAACATACCCGATCTTCGCAATGGGGAAAACCCGCATTGCGAAGATCGGGTATTGCGGTGGCCATTTTGGAGCCGCCGAACAGCTGATCGGCGGTTCCAAAATGGCCGCCAGAAGCCCAGAAATGGCTGCCGGCAGCTGTTTTCGCGCCCTGCCCTCGCTTAGCGAAGGCACGAAAATGGCTGCCGGCACCTGGAATCCTCGCTGAACGGGTAAGTAACGAAGGTATTGGAACGCATTAAACGAAGTTTAATGCGTTCCAATACCTTTCCCCTACCCGTTTAGCGATGATTCCGTATAGCGAGAGTTAATCCGGAACGGATTAACCTCGCTATACGGGGCACCACTGTAGATGTTTTCTGGAATTCTCTGGCTTTCTCCATAATCCAGTGCATGTTGGCAATTTGGTCTCTAGTTCCTCTGCCCCTTTGAAATCCAGCTTGTACTTCTGCGAGTTCTCAATCCACATAATGCTGAATCCTACCTTGTAGGCTTTTGAGCATAACCTCGCTAACGTGTGAAATGACTGCAATAGTACGGTAGTTGTAGCATTCTTTGGCACTGCCCCTCTTTGGGATTGGGATGTAGGCTGATCTTTTCCAATCCTCTGGCCACTGTTGAGTTTTCCAACTTGCTGGCAAGTGTAGCACCTTAACACCATTATCTTTTAAGATTTTAGATATTTGGAATGCCATCACCTCCACTGACCTTGTTGTTAGCCATGCTTTCTAAGGCCCATTTGACTTCACTCTCCAAGATGTCTGCAACCACACTATCTTGCATGACTCCAAGGTCAGCAACCACACTATCTGGGTTGTCCGGGACATCCAGATCTTTCTGGTATAATTTCTCTGTGTATTCTTGCCACCTCTTCTTGATGTCTTCTGCTTCTATTAGGTCGTACCATTTTTGTCCTTTATCATGTCCATCTTTGCACAGAATGATCCTTTAATACACTATCTCCAGTTTTCTTGAACAGATCCCTGATTTTACCCTTTCTATTATTTTCCTCTATTTCTTTGCACTGGTCATTTAAGAAGGTCCTCTTGTCTCTCCTTGCTATTCTTTGGAAGTCTGCTTTCAGTTTTTTGTAACTTTCCCTATCTCCCTTGCATTTTGTTTCCCTTCTCTTCTCTGCTATTTGTAAGGCCTCGTTGGACAACCACTCTGCTTTCTTGCATTTCTTTTTCTTTGGGATAGTTTTTGTTGCTGCCTCCTGTACAATGTTACGAGCCTCCATCCATAGTTCTTCAGGCACTCTGTCCACCAAATCGAGTTCCTTAAATCTGTTCTTTATTATATATGAGATTTTCCATCAAGTGCTCTGCATTCCTTTGTGGGGATGCAGATGATTATAAACTGTTAGTGTAAATGAGTAAGGGTTTTTTTGTAGCAATCCAAATAACCTTGGTGATTCAACATTCCTTTTTCAAATTAATTACTGTTTATTTGGTATAATTATTTTGTTCATTCCCTGGATGGGTGAAATTCTTATATTTGTTCTAAAGTCTTATTCTTAAACTTGTGGAAGAGTGAAGTAATTCAGATCACAGATCATCCCCTCTCGCTCAGAACATGGGCACACTGATACACCTTGCCATGCATTGTTTTCCACACTACATAAATGCTAGAGCATAAATCTCATTCACTCCCTGTATGATTCATCACCTGTGGTGGTAAAAACCTGAAATGAAAGGCAGTGATAATGTCAACACCTACATGGAAGTTGTGCAGCACAGTCCTATCCATCCTTACATAGTATATTAACTGTTTATTAGTCCATTCCACCTGCTTCGTATTTGGGGAAAAGAATCCTTACTGTGTTTAATAGACTTAGTCCTAGGTAAAGAGTGAAGCTCATCTCCAGTGGTTACTTGGAGCAGAAATAACTATTTTCATGTCT